GCTTGGAAATAGGTAAAGATGACAAAGATTGCAGATAATCACAGAGAAACTAAAGAAAATCAAAGGAGAGATTAAACTTGTAAATGTGTAAAAAAAATCATTGTTCCATATGACTGGGTTATTACTGTAGAAAAATCAAATATACAGCACTTACAGTGCAGAGTTCTAACCACCAACAGAATCAGTCATTGTACTTCTGTGTTTTTTGTCAAATACGAAGGTATTTGTCTTCAGTCTGGTCTTTGCCTCAGTATTATCTTAAAGGACAGCAGTAAATTTATCATGAGCTTGATGTCTACGTGTGACATTTAGCACCAGATAAAGATAGAGGAATAAAAAACAAGCAGTTAAAGGAAAACTGCAACATTTGGTCACTTACTTGCCGAGCGTCAGATGAGAAGATTAATTCCACTCTCGTGTCTGTATGCTAAATATGACGCTAAGTGGTCACGGTACTAGGGGTATAGCAATTCTGAAAACAAGATCCAAACCATGATACAAACATCCACGATCTCATATTGCAATACTGGAAGATGGAACAGTGAGCAAGTTTAATTGGCTCAAGATGAGGTTGATGAGATTGCAGACCTTCCTGGGCACATTCAAGTCAGCACTGTGGGAATATTTTAAACTGTTTTAGAGAGGTGTTGATTCATTTATGATCATTTTGCTGCTTGTGGTGCTGTTGTGTTATATTGACAGGTGTTTCTATTATTTTGTTCACTCCGTTTATATCAATTAGGGAATTTCAGAATTGAGCCTCTGCTCTTTGCAGATGATGTGGTTGTGTTGGTGTCATCAGACTGTGACCTTCAGCGCACACTGTGGCAAAGTGGGAAGCGGCCGGACGAGGGTTAGCACATTTGAGGCCTTGGTGGCAATGACAACAATCCTATCCTATCCATACAGGGTTAATAGTATACAGCTGTCATTAAATTTTTTAATGCATCGGTATCGGATTGGTACTCCGTATCGGCTGATACAAAAGCTCAGGTATCGGAATCAGTATTGGGAAGGAAAAAATGGTATTGGAAACAACTGAGGGTTTTTTTTTACTAGTTTAATCTGACTAATACCAGTTGTGGCAACTATGCAACACCTGTTCTTAATTAGGTTATTAAAGGTGCAATTGGGGGAATCAAATCTTTACAGTCTGCATTGTTTAAGCTCAAAAAGGACCACCTAGTTGAATAACCTAAAACTAAACATAAATACAAGCTTAACACAACCAAGGTTTACTGTTGTCCATATCTCCCACTGTCAGATTGGCAATATGAAACAACCCTTGACCATCAGTTGGTCGGTTTGTCAGATTCAATGTGCCCCGAGAAGAAAAACTTCAAAGCAACTGTGCGCTATCAGAGTACCAACAGTGAACAAAGACTAAAACACTGTAAAACAAAGTTGGACAGCATCTTCTGACTGGAGAAACACAAGGACACAAGGGACAGTATGACTGTATTTACTCAACAGCTTCAACCTGTTTTAGATAGTCCAGATGCCTTCTCTACTTTCTCTACCAGTGGGCACAACAAAAGGTCTTTGTTATTACTCTAATCACAAACAAGTGTCTACTATCCACTGCTGGAGCTGTGTACCTGTGTGTGTGTGTGTGTGTGTGTGTGTGTGTGTGTGTGTGTGTGTATGTGTGTGTGTGTGTGTGTGTGTGGTGTTGTTAGGACCACTCAGGAGAATGGCCTCAGGATTTTCATAATGTTTAAAGATCATATTAATGCTGTTTTTTCCATGACCATACGTTGTAGGCAGAGTGAGAATGCACAATGATTTTTTTTTAATTGAAAAACCTGTGAAATGTATCATCTTTCAGTAAAATCAGCTCGCAAAAACTTGAAACCTAACAAAGATTTCCAGATTGTAGTCAAAAGTGAAAAGAAAAAATCTTAAACACCATTAATACAAAAGTCATTAGGGGAGCCACATAATCCAATTTTTCAGAGTGGAAATCCTCCTCTGTCACAATACTTGTTGAAAATGAGGGAGAAACTAATATTAATTACCTGTAGCCAGGCTTCAGTAGAAACTAGAAGACTTTGATGACCAAAGAGGACAAATAACCCTTTCAAGCTACAGCAAAGAAAATAAAAAATAGTGGCACCAACCACCACAGATTACAATATGAGAAAACTGGCGGAGATATACTTTTGAAAACTGTGCAATGCATTGTAAAGTATATGCAATTTAACTACAGGCAAAGAATGATTGTTATAAAAAACCATCAGCTTCAATTGACTGATTTATGCAAACAAACACATACACACAAAAGTAAAGAAAAGACAGAAGACACTTGTTTGTAACTTAAAAAAAAAAAAAAACACAGCAGAGAAACACAAACACATACACCATCTGCCCACAGACAGTGCCTAAATGCCTAGAGCTCTCTGACAAAATAATTCGACAGGATTCCTCCAGTAATTTCAGTTTCCAGTCTCCTGTCGGATGCAATCTGATTGTCTGAGTCTGTTTTCTGTCTGAAAGATTTTAAGAGAGGACACCAGATTGGAGTTAACACTGTTTGCCTTTCTGTTTCCTTCACACACAGGCTTTTCACACATTACAACAAAACCAGTATGACTGGAGCACTGATATCGGGTCAATGTCTTTTCTACGAACTACAGACACACACAGGCACACATTAAAATAGCACCATAGAGCAATGAGAGAATAACTACTAGCTTAGTAGAAATCACTAAGTACTAAGTAACAGCTAATGAATGATGCACATTAGCATAAAAGCCTGTGTGTGTGTTTTTGCATATACAGTACATGGAGAGTCATGTATATGGGCATAAGACAATTACATGATATCAAACGGTTTCACTCACATGCCTCAGCTTATACATACTTTCTATGTATTATCTTGTCAGCTGTGTGTATGTCTGTATGTGTGTGTGTATGTGTGTGTGTGTGTGTGTGTGTGTGTGTGTCTGTGTGTGTGTGTGTGTGTGTGTGTGTGTGTGTAAGTGTGTGTGTGATTGCCTTTGTTTCTCTCCGGCAGTGAAGTATTTGTGTTAAAGTTAAACAGTACAGACACAAGCAGGTCACCTCCTCCATCATCCTCCCCACTCAAAGGAGCTGAGAGCACAAACACAGACGTCAACTAAATCACCTCCATTAACGTCAACAGACACTCTGCTGTAACAAAAATCTTTTTTAAAGACTGGACTATTACATGATATTATACATTATTTTTTCATTAAATATACCACTAAACACCTCAGATGACTGTAGGCTCAAAAAACAACTCCCTATTACATGTACAAATGAACTAAGATGACTCATAGCTGTAACAGGAAGGTTCAATGTCAAGCTAACAAGGATTTTGTAAGTGGAGGTGTCAGTTCTTTTTCCGATGGCTTTACAAAGGCAATAAATACAGACGCAATAAAGTGAGGGATAATAATGGATAATAATGGAATAGTATCAAGTATATAATCAGATGTTAACCAGAAAATGTTCAACATGTTTTAGTGTGTTAGCATGCTAACACTTGTTATTAGCATGAACCACAGGATACAGTTTTTGGGAATGTCAATGTTTTTTGAAAGTGATAAAACACGGTTATTCATCATGTGGGGAAGTAGAATGTCTGTACAAAATCTAATGACAGTTTATAGCTGTTTGGACCGGAGCAGTGGACTAACAGACTGACATTGCTATTGCTAAAGCCAAATTGCTAGCTTGGCTAAGAAAATTGCACACTACCACGAAATGTATTTCTATATTAATCAACACAATAAAAGTTTAATATAAGTTAGACTTGAGGTTCAAGTCTCTACTCATAATTAGAAGGCTATCTAAATTGCTTAACTAAATATCCAGTTATATTGTCTGTGTTGATTTATTTCTTCATCCAGCTACAGCTGTTCCTTATTACTGTACATATCTTACGTCATATTTCCTACTAGGCGATAAGACAGAGAGAAAAGTATATAACACAGCTCACGAGCAGACCTCATATCCATAACATGTATGAGTTCACTAGCACCAAAATTGAATAACTGATTCAACTATGAAATTCATTCATTTTTCAAGTCTGAGTCCAGGACATGTTCCACTTGCAGAGCACCACAGTGGCTAAGACAATTAACATTCATTTCTAGAGGAGCAACAGCATACTCACATCTATTATTTACACATTGGGTATGACACATGGCCTATATTAAAAATATTTCAATTCAAATAAGATGATGGTTGCACCACGCCATGACATTTTCTCTTGCTGCTATTGGTATTGATGTGCCACCAGTCTACAGTATGATCTACAGCAAATTATTTCTATTATTTAAAATGTCTTGAATAAGGCAGTAATCTAATCTAACGTAATCTGTGCAGTCCATTGTTGTATTGATTTGTAAATGCAATCCCATGGTTACAATAATGACCCTTTGAAAATTCTGAATTTACTGAGCAACGGAGCAGCTCTTTGGACCAACTGGTCTAAATTTGAAATTGCTGCAACAAAACAAAGTGTTGTTAAACTGGCAGACAAAGACACAGATAAGGGTCAAATCTATTGTCTTCTTCTCAATTTTACAGTGAAGTGCACCACAGAAAATCAAAATACAAAGAAAAGAGATAACACTTGCGCACAGTTGACCCTGATAGGAAGGTGGTGTACATCTCTCTTTGCAGTAAGAGACAAATGAGCCTGGTTTCCTGCCTGAGGCCTTGATTTCTTCTCTGATAGACTTTTAACAGAGAGGACAGCGAGACAAAACACACATACACACTCTGTACTCACATTCTGTGCTCATTGCAACAAATGATGTGATCACAGATCCGTTGCAGATAATAAATATGTTGTAGTCACAGTGTAATACTGCAAAATACTTTTTCTACTGGCCAACTATGCAAAGCCAAAGGATCAACTTTACCTGTGAGTGTGCCAAACCCAAAAGACACAAACCATGAAAATCAATTGCTTTGAATGAAGAAGAAAGCAAGAAACTGGTGTAAATGTGACTTAACCGTGTGTTTACCTCAGTGCCATAGACGTCCCGTTGACTGACGCAGCAGAACACGCTCTATGGGTTTGTCTATAGGAGCAGCTCCCCTGCCGTGCGTATCGCTCATCATCACAGCAGAGGATCACCAGAAACGCCCTCCGAAATGCCCGGTTCAGAAAGGCATACAGGAAGGGGTTCAACCCTGAGTTAATGTACCCAAGCCACAGCCAGGCTGTCCACAGCTGCCAGGGCACTGAGTAATGAATGAATGGGTCCACCACATTGGTGATGAAGAACGGCGCCCAGCACAGGCAGAAACAACCCATTATAACCGCCAGTGTCTTTGCCGCCTTAGTCTCAACACGCATGCGGCTGTTCGCTATAGGAGCCTGCTCTGAAGAGGAGGAACCCATTGTTGTCCTAAGATGGTAGTGCTCCGAAGGATCTGAGGAAGTGGAGGACCTCACAGTGATGACAGGAGCCGTCCCAGTAACGGGAGCAGAGCCAGCACGCTGCAGCGTCTCAATCTGCCGCACGTGGGTCATGGCAGTGACATAGATACGCTGGTAGGCCAGGACCATGAGGGCCAATGGGACGTAAAAAGCCACTGCAGAACAGATCAGGGCGTAAGGCTGGTTGACCAGAAACACGCAGCTTGTGTCGTTGGAGCCTCCTGTCAAAGCTCGCCTCTCCTCAATCTGGAAGGGAGAAGAGACACAGTCACAAAAATAGAACAAACAGTACATAATTTAAAGTATGCCTCAAATTGACCTACCTACCTATCAAAGAATACACCAAGGTCAGAATTAGACATTTAGATTCTCAGTGCAACTTGTATACAACTGGATTTCATCACTCTCAATCAAAGACTTTAAGTTAAGGAAATAAATAGTTCATTTTTGGAAATGCCTTTCTTTCCCAGAGTCAGAGTTGTTAAGCGTGAGCTCAAAAAAGGAATCAGAGGGACATTAACCTATCTTAACATAGTGACTGTAAGCAAGGGGAAACAGCTAGCCTTGCAGTACATGCTCAAAGATATTTTTACCTTTGAGTGTGTGTATGGATTAAACAAACAAAAATGTGCTCATTAGAAAGCATTAGAAGTGTTAGTAGGCATATTTCTGAGTTTTGGAGAGGCTAGTGGCTAAGCTAGGCTAAAGGAAGAAGCAATAATACGAGCCTATCTGGTCAGCTGCCTATATGTTTGTCCTAAATTGAAAATATGATCAGGTCAAAGTAAATTGAATGACAGGTAGAGAAGCACCTCAAGCTGAAAAGTGATGAGTAGAGACTCCTCAGTTTCAAATCACTATGCCATCACCACTATGTTCAGTTCAAGCCAAGCAGACATATATGTGCCATAGTATTGAACACCTTATTGTCACAATTATGTAATCACTTCTTGCGGCTTTGCAACAGCTGGAGTGAGAAGTTTCAGTTTCAAACCATTCATTTTTGGAGCAGAGCAAAAGTGCATTGGAAATTTTCTAAATTTTTGAAAGAAAGATGAGAGACAAACATAAGTCATAGCGAACAAAATAAACTAAAACCTGGCCTAAATGTGCAGACATAAGCCATTTCAAGTCTTTTGCAATTTTGTCTGTGACATATCACTTCAAGCCAGCTATTAAAAAAAGAGATTGTTGTTTGGATGCTGCCTGACTGAAGGACAGAGAAAAAGAGCCATGTATTTCATTAAGTATGGCTGAATAAATTCGTCTATCCCCGTCTGCCTCTGGGAGTCCTACAGCTCATTTCAAGGCAGCTCTGAAATAATCTCACGCCACAACATATCCAAACCAGTAGAAAATGCTTGTTCAAGTGCTCTCTTTGCTCGCAGCAAGAGAGCCTCCACAGGGACTGGAATTGTTTTGTGATTACTGCATTACCGTGTCATTGTTCGAGGGATTGGAAACATTATTAGAAACAGACAATATTAGGTTGGAAAGGTTTCTGCTGCATTTGCCCTCACAGAAAGAACATCTCTCTTATGCGTTTGAGGGAGGTATATGAACTCTTCACTTTGTTAAAGTATGCTATATATTTTGTCGATCTAGGATTGTTATATCATTTTCTTAAAATAATAATACAATCAGCAGTTTTTTATGGCATTACTGTATCTTAAGGACTCACAATGTCCTCGATGCCGATGGCGTTCCAGCTTTGCATAATGGGTAAGAAGGAGATGAATGTGGGGATGAGCCAGCAGCCACTCAGCATCACTGCCACTCTCACCGGGGTCATCTTGTTTCTGTAGACCAGAGGCTGGCAGCAGATAGCGTAATACCTGAAATAATGCAAACACAGACATACAAACACACACTACAGTGTACAGTTTTTGAAGCAATATTCCATATACTTTAAACACAAAACCAAACATGATCATGATCTTTTTCAGTCTCAGTCATTTGTCTTTTTTTTTTTTTACTTGCTTGAGCTCAACTGAGAACAGCTGCTGAGACACTATGTTATATTGGGTTATAAAAATGTACATACTTGTTATTTTTGGCACAGGATTGTATTCTGATTGACTGACAATGTTTTTAAGTCTTAAGTTTTGTATCTCAGAGTCTGACGTGCATCTCTGACTGAAAGGTAAGTTAACTAAGGCCAAAAATGAGGTTCAAATCCCTGTCATCATCTCTCTCTCAGTCACTCAGACACACCCACACACAAACCTGTCCAGTGCAATGCAGCAGAGGTGCAGGATGGATGCTGTCGTTAACAGGACGTCCAGAGACGTTCGGACGAGGCAGAAGATCTCTCCGTACCCCCACTGGCCGGTTGTCAACTCAATCGCAGCAAAGGGCATCACAACCAGCGCAACCAGCAAGTCAGCAAACGCCAGCGACACAATGAAGTAGTTGGTCTTCTTCTTCCTGAGAGGAGAGGACAGGACAGAACAGGAGAGGAGAGAAGAGGAGAGGAGAGGAGAGGAGAGGACAGGACAGGACAGGACAGGAGAGGACAGAGAGGAAAGAAGTTAGAATTGAGAAATTATCCATAAAAGTCACTGGTAAAATCGGTTCACGGTGTACTGTATGTTTTACTGTGCCATCATATCTCACTTGACTTTAATGGGCTGGCATCTCTAAACTTTAAAGCTGCTGCCAATCAATCTGCTGTCACAACTGTCAGTATGACTTTGCAGAAATAGGAAACAACAGACACGTGTCCAGATTTACTTTAATTTGCTAAAGAAAAAGAACTCAAACAACTGACATATTTAAGTCAAGGTACCTTGTAAACTGCTTTGATAACCAAGTAAAATTATTGACACAACATATTTATTTATTTATCTATTTTTTAAACAAAAAAAAACATCACGTCAGTTTTATTGTTAGAGCATTAGCTTTTTTTTTAAATTATTGATTCAAATGGCATTTTTGAACACTTTCTCCCAGAATGCCTTGCAGGAACAAAACAATGTCCTGGATTAGCCCCTTGTTTTTGCTGTTCTCATCGGGTCACAACTGACTTTACTGTCAACCAGTTTCCAAACTATACCACAACTTATTAGATTTGTCTCTTACCATACAAGCAGGTTTGGACAGACTTTCACTTTGCTTAAGATAGGTATTTCATGGCAGTGAACAGGTAGTTGCTTTTTGTCAAAGTAGATAGGGAGAACCTTGAGTCTGGGTGTGTTTTGTATAGGTTTGGATTTTATTGTTTTTTTTGTTCAAGCCAGAATGGACCATTGTGGCAAATAGACCACAGGCTCACCGTAGATGTCTGTCCTTGCAGAGGGCCACCATTACCAGCAGATTGCCAAACACCGTCATGATAATAATGATGGAGAGGAAGATGGTGAGAGCAATCGTCTCCAGTGAGCTCAGGAATTCTTCTTGCTGCTGTTGTTCCTGTTGTTGGGGTTGTCCTGTGTTTATTGTGTCATCCAACAAACTACAATACAAAAACAAATACAAAGAAAAACACAGCAATTTCAGCAGTTTGAAACTCCTAATATATATTGGTAATATATCAATAACAATAATTTTCTGATCTGTCACTTATGGTTAAGTTAGGGTTAGGTTTAGGCAATTAAAACTAGTTGGTTACGATTAGAGAATATTGCCTGCATGGTTAAAAGAAATCCGTGCTGACTGTTGGTAAGAGACACAGGCTGTGTTATCATGATCCAGCCCACCCTCCTCCTCAAACAACATCTTTATTTGCTTTCTTTCCAAGACTTAAATTAGAAAATTCATACCATCTCATGGCTGTGCATTACATACAGAGAGGAAGCCAGGAGGTGATTAGCCTAGCTTAGCATACGGCTGGGCAGCAGGGGGAAACAGCTAGCCTAGCTTCTCCTAAAACTACAAGTTATCATTTTTACATTTCTGTTTGTGTATGACTTAAACAAACAAGATGCAGCGTGTCTATTAATGAGCTTCAGAAGTGTTGGCAGGTGTTTTGTTGAACTGTGATGAGAACCAGGCCAGCTGATTCCCACTCCTTTACTCCACTACTTTTTATGCTACAGCTCTGTACTTATCATCTCATCTCACTCTCAGTGTGTCAGTAGTCACACATGGTAGTAGATAACTGCATACATAAGATCATCACAGCATAAGATCTGCAGGAAACAAAGAGCATGAAAGTGGTGGGTGACATTCAACAAAGGGCCGAACAGAGTGGAACAGAACCAGACACTGTGATTACGTAGTGTGCGTCCGTACAACTCGGCTTCTATAATTAATTAGAAAGTCACACTCAGTGTCAGTAGCAGTTACTACTTTAAATGATATAAGACAAGTCCTATTGTATTGTAGGCTGAAATCAGATTCATATTTTTTAGAAATTTGACAGAACTGGATTTACTGTTGATAATTTAGGATGAGTTAGGAGTTTTTCTTAAAAGCTTGAATTTGTGACTTACTGTTGAGGTGATGCTGTGGCCATCACTGGTCATCTGCATTGAGATCAGAAGAGGAGAGTCCTCATCACCCCATGCTCTGTCTCGCCCTCTCTCCACACACACACACACACACACACACACACACACACACACACACACACACACACACACACACACACGCACACACACACACACACACATTCGATGTAACTGTCCTGGCTCGCACAATAAGTCTGCATTTTCCTGAAAATAGAAGCCAGCTTGTGAATATAAACTGGTCCGATTTACTTTGTTTGTCTATCCAGAGCCAAAAATGTGATATTTGTGCCTCAAATAAGTAACTGGATCGCAGCTTGAAAGCGTGTGATATTTATGGGGCAAATAGGCTGCAACAGGAAGCAGCTGTGTCTGCCAGATTCCATCAGCATGTTAGTTTGTCTTTGTAATGCAATAACAATACTATTCTTTAGTGAGTGCCACAAGAGAAATTCTCCTTTTTTATTCCCCTGTAAAGGAAGATCAAAGGTCAGACATCAGCTGCTGAACAGCACCTCTGGGGCTGGTAGAGATTCAGCAGATACTGGTTCTCCTTGTCGAAGGTCAGTCTGTGTGACCCTGCAGCCCATATTTAACCTGGTAATTAAGGTAAATGTATTGATTTTACCAACAAAAGCCTGAGGTAACGAGACAACAGTTTGTTTTCAAACAGATGAAGCAGGTTAAAGCATTAACTCCGGGTCATTGTCCACATGGACATAATCTTCTCTTTTTCTGTCAAGTTAATAACTTCTGATTCAGTGTACAGCTCCTTTTTGTTTTTGTTGGCTATTTAAAGCTGTCAAATTAAGTCTAAAAGCATCAGTGGTGTTTTTTTGGGTTTTTTTTTATCTTAACATCTGTCTCACTACAATATACAAGACTAAGAGTCTACAGCGCTATTAGCAGCTCTGTGAGGCTATAATTGGACACAGCCCTGCTTTGAATTAAATGCTAACATCACCATGCTAACATACTCACAATGAAGTGTTTAGCAGTAGGTATAATTTTTACCATGTTCACCATATTGATTTAGAGTGTTAGCATGCTATCATTTGCCAATTAGCATTAAACAAAAAAGCCCAGCTAGGGCTGATGGGAATATGTTTTGTTTTGCAGGTATTAACAGTGGACCAAGAGTCCAACAGCCATGCCACATAGCTAAAAATAGATTTATTATAAAACATAAAAATAGATTAGGCTACATTAAGACAAGATACAAGTGCATAGAGTTTCTCTCTATATTTACGATAGCTGAGACGATTGTGACAAAATCAATCAGTGTAACAGGAAATGACAAAGAACGTTTAAAAGTGGTTGGGGTCATGCTCTTAGTCATTTTAGACTAAGTATCTGTTCTTGATGGACAGCAGAGAGCCTTTCACCAGTAGAGTATTGTAGATGCCTTATCAGCTTTAAGCACCTATTACAACATGCTGGTGCGTCTCTGCCTTTTTATGACGGCTGTCTAGTCTTATCGCAGTCAAGGGTCAATATCATCGCCTGACAGACTGTGACAACTGGCGCTTCTGCCAACAACACTTCCTGCAGACAGTTCACCATTTACAGTTTATCACGTCTTTGTATCATCTAGTCCGGGTAAGGCTAAGATGCAAGTTTAACCCAATGTCTCATTTTTTTTCATGCTGTAAGCATCCATCATTCACCAGACTGAATCTTGGCATAGAAAGATTTGACTTTATCTCAGAAGAAATACAGATATAGTACGGGTCTGCGAGACTGGTCTGGATGTGTTTGGTGGTTCCCAGAGCCGAAGGAGCTGAGAAACCCTGATCTAGTCGACAGCTTTTCCAGTTCTGACTTGTCCAGACATTCTGTCTCTGACATATACATAACATTCATTGGGTTGTGAAAATATATGCACTTTTTCTTTTTTGCGCACCAAAAGAAAGTTCAGGGTGCTTTCTGTCAACGTCTCCGCTTTCTTGAAGACAGCAACACAACCCTGTTAGATTACACCAATACCTCATTATACTAGGCTAAAGGGCAAACCCACCATCTGTACTTAACAAGGGCAAGTAATGTATGTTCTTTTCTGAACGCATGTGGACCATGGACAGATTAAAAAATGATAGAGCCCTGCGCCACCACCATCTTTTGGTACCCGCACAGATGTTTTATGATTTCTAAATTTGCAGCGATTCCCATTCACCAGATCAACCGAAACATAAGAGCCCAAGCCTGAACACTGATAATTCACAATTCAAATTGTCTTGTATGTAAGACAATGGCGCACAATGTCAGGACAGTCTCTAGTCTCTAGCGTTCATGGTGGTCCACTCCATGCTACATATGACATGTGGCGGAAGCAGTTTTTGTGAAGAATTAACAAAGAGCACTTGAGAAAGTAAATCGAATCCTGCATACTTTCATACCTTCACACACCTGGCCAATAAACAAATGTTATAAGATCTAATAAGCACCTAATCTGAAACGCACTGAGGCCTTTAGGTGCCCCTGACCCCTTAGGCACCTGGGCCTGTGGCCAAAAGGTCAGTTAATATCATCCACGATTAGGACACAAAAACACTGATTATACACAGTAAATATAATTAAATGTCAAGTTCCTGAAGGAACAATTCAGCTCAACAATGGTGCACAGATTAGATTCAGTTTTGCATTCTCATTACAACAGCACATTGAAACATTACTGATTACTGTTTGCATTTTAAATGCTCCGTAGAGGAAATTGTAATCAGTATTATCATTTCTCTCTCTTTCTTTCTCTCTCGCGCACACACACACACACACACACACACACACACACACACACACACACACACACACACACACACACACACACACACACACACACACACACTTGCGCACAAAAATCATCACTGGACAACAAAACTAACACTACCCACCATCCTCTCGTTGCTCACTTGGTTACTCACACATCGCACTCTTGGAAATGAGAAAATATTTGCTTAATATGAATTTCTAAGAAAGAAAAAAAACTCAGGAGCGAAAGAAAGAGAGAGCGTGAAGGGAGAGGAGCTATAATTCTGACAGGTTGCTGTGGTTTTCTTGTGTGATGCGCGTCCAAGGAGGCGTGTTTTCACAGCTCACCGTGTCCATTTCACATCTGACTGACACAGAGCTGAACTGAACAGAATGAACTCTGCAGAGCAGTAGGCAGGGAGAGAATAGGTTGGTTTTTTTGTCTATTTTTTTATTCACTGTATAACCTACAGTTGTAATTATTACTAATCAAAAAAGTTCCTTTTGAGTTTATTTTATTTTTTATTCATCAAGATGAATAAAAAAATTGATGACATTAAACAGAGACACACGAGTCTACAGCCATGCCATCAGCTCTGTGAGGCTGTAAGGCACAGCAGTGCTTTGAGCTACATGGTAACGTCAGTATGCTAACATGCTCACAGTGACGATGTTTATGTACTGATGTTCGCTATCTTAGTTTAGTGTGCTAGCATTAAATACATATATATATATATATATATATATATATATATATATATATATTTAGCTGATGATGGCATTGGTTGAAGAGCTAAGGAATCACCAATGTTATTACACTTAAGCCTGTGGGAGGAAATTTTTACTTCAGTCAAATTTTGTTGACAGGCGGTGACAACAGGTGCTTTTCGACGGTATAAAAGTGTGTGAGTGAAAATGCACACCTTCGAATAAAGCACAATTTACAGTGATTCAAACAATGGAATTTGGAAGAATTCAATTCAGAAGTCAATGCATCATATCATTTGAATTATTTTTGTCTAAGGATTATTTTAAATACAGTATAACAGCCTCAAATTCTTAAGAAGTGCATCATATTTTTAGGATCAGAGCACTCCTCTCTGAAATTGTATTATTTTGTCCAGTGTATTCCTCCTCTCTAACCCTATTTCTATTCATTATCTGGCACTGCACTTAGCACTCACTATGAAATGTAACTTATCAAAAAATGCACACTCTGTCACACACAAACCTGCACACACAAAGGCAGAATTCCACACTACATAAACAATAATTATTCCTGCATGTGTTCACAAATCTCAACAAGAATAACTGGCAATGTGCTGACTCTTGACAATGTGCCTAGAAGTGTATGCTGAGATCATTTGTAATGTAACAAAGGTCTAAAAGTTGCAAATCACATTCATTTAATTAAGAACTATTGTGTTGTGATCCTTGTATCACTGTTAACACAACAAATGCAGAAAATTAAATGCTCCTTAACTCTCACTTGTTTTGTTGTCAGGTGGGAAGTAAATACTTCTCACATAATCTCACACCTCAGATTGTGAGCGGGCTGAACCGTGTGTGTGTGTGTGTGTGTGTGTGTGTGTTTGTCTGTGCTTACATGCACATTTGTTTGTTTGTACTGTATGTGGAGGAGGAATCTCTGGTACAGTTGCCAAGGAGACTGAGAGGTATCATGTTCTGCAGTCTATCCTCCTGTAATTTTAAATGTTTGAGTAAGGAAGACAGTCTTAAACAAACTACTGCTGGGACAGATGCTCTCCTGCTGTAAAGTGCGTGTAAAGTAGCTGCTAATCATTGTTAATGTACTGTACATTAAGAGAGCGGGATTAAAAGATCAATCTGGTGATATTATATATATCTTTTTCTGATGAACAGCAAATCCCATGAAAAGACCAAAACTTCAAATGAATTGATCCCACTAACAAGAACTGTTTGTGTAGCAAAAGTCTGATATAGAGCTTATTCCTCCGTGCCATTGAATTCCACTGTGTCCAAACATCAGGCACATCATCGTCCTGGGGCTAAAAATACTCACCAGAGCACCAAATGTTTATTAATCCGCCACTGAAAATAATCCCCAACAAATGCACCGTGCACACTACTTTTGTTTGAGTAATGTTCGCTGACACCTACAACCCATCAGCAACAGTATAGTAAGAGCCAGACAGTCAAGAAAATAAGCACTCCTCGAGCTGCTTTTTAGCTGTATTGCATTCTGGTCTTCTTTCCTGCTATTGTGAGAGTATAAATTGGCCTCTCTCCCTCTTCTACAATGAATCCCTTTCTCAGTGCTAGCACAAAAGAGAA